CCGAGAGCTGGCCGAGAGATGGCCGAGAGATGGCCGAGAGCTGGCCGAGAGCTGGCCGAGAGCTGGCCGAGAGCTGGCCGAGAGATGGCCGAGAGATGGCCGAGAGATGGCCGAGAGATGGCCGAGAGCTGACCGAGAGCTGGCCGAGAGCTGGCCGAGAGGTGGCCGAGAGCTGGCCGAGAGCTGGCCGAGAGGTGGCCGAGAGGTGGCCGAGAGATGGCCGAGAGCTGGCCGAGAGCTGGCCGAGAGCTGGCCGAGAGATGGCCGAGAGATGGCCGAGAGCTGGCCGAGAGCTGGCCGAGGATCGCCTGTCTCGACGAGAAGTAGTTGAGCCCCCAGATGTGCGTGTCGATGCCCACCGTCAGCCCAACCGACGGCTCGGGCGGGTCGCAGACGTGCGATCCTACTCGACCAGCTCACGAGACGCGTGAGAGTGGCCAGCTCCTCCCCGGCTCGGGCGAGTCGCAGCACGTGAGAGCCGTCGTGCGGGTCGACTGTGCCTGGCGGGACAGGGGGGGGCGCCGCCGGCAATCAGCAATCGGTTCGTCGGCAGGCGTGCCTCGGGGTGGGGTGGGAAGCGGCAGTGGCGACCAGTGGCCCCTAACGAGGGAAGGCCGAGCGGGTGGTGCGCGCTTGTCGTGTGCGGGAAGCCGGCCGGCACGTAGAGCAATTGCCTGCCACTCACACCCGCTCGGAATCAGCAACGAACTGCCGACGGGCGGGCGTCGCAGAGCGGCTGCCCCGGCGTCAGCACCGTCTCGAGAAGCGGCTCTCCCAGCTCCGAGAGGCGGAGCTTGTCGTCGCCTATCCGTCCCCCGGCCCAGGAGCAGTGAACGAGGAGCTCGTGGCCGGCACCGAGAGGCGGAGCTTGACGTCGCCCTTTCCACGCGCGAGAGGGTCCGAGCCGGGTCGGCGGGACGGCGGCGGCGGCTCGTACACCCGCCAGTGCTTTGCGCCTATCGGGGGGTGCGCCGGCTCGGCGGCGCCTTCTCGCGCGGCTCGCGGCCGCCGGCTGCTTAGCGCCGCTCATCTGCAGGACAAAGACGTCCTGCTTGTCGGTGTGCGGCGGGGCGGACTGCTTGACGCTCGGGCCGGTGAGGTACATGTTGAGGCAGTTGGGGAGCCCGAACGCGCGCAGCGCCGCCAGGCAGATGGCGCCGAGCTTGGGCACGTGCGCGCCCGCAGAATTGAAGACAACCGTCCCGCGCTCTATGCCCGCCGCGACGTCGACGTACCGCAGCTTGGCGTCCTCGTACGAGGAGCCGCGCGGCTGCGAGACTGGCGCCATCTTCCAGCCGCCCTCCGCCGTCGGCACACCGAGCCCCGCCTCCAGAAAGTCAGAGTCCACTGCCTCGCGCACGTCGTCCAGCGTAAACGAGCCGGCGACGCCGGCGATGGGCTCGGCGACGAGCAGCGGCTTGCGCGCCCAGACGTCCGCGACGAAATCGGCGTCGCGCGCAAGCACCTCGAACGCTCGGTAGTACGTCTCGGCGAGCTCGATGTTCTCGGCGGGCGCGCTTGGCCAGTCCACGCCGCTGCCGCTGCCGCTGCTGCCGGCGGCGTTGGCGCACGCGGGGGCGTGGCGCGGCGCCACGCGAGCACGAGGCGGAGCGAGCGTGCTCGCAGTTGCAAAAAAGACGAGGTCGAGCGCCATGGACCGAAGCCAGAGCGCTGGAAAAGAAAAGCCGAGTGGGTGATTCTCGAGACTCCGAGAGCGAACAAGGGACCGGCAGGCGGCGGCGTCGCAGGACGAGGCAGAAGAGAACGACGCGACAGAGGGGGAAGTGACAAGGGAGAGAACGACGAGAGTGGGACAGCCGCGAGGTGGCATGAAGGTTGCAGCGAGAAGCGGCGAGAGACTGCGAAAAGAGATACGAGGAGGCAGACCCCCCAGGGTGGGCGACGGCTAGCGCATCACACCCTCCTCTCCTTAAAATCCCTGTGTGGTGGCGGCGTGCCGTTCTCCCATCCCTCCCTTGGGTTGTGTGTTTTCTTTCTTTCTTTCTTTTTCCGAGAGCGAAAAATGTGGTCCTTGCGCGAGGGGAGCTCGATAGACTCGAGGGGCCAGGATACGCCGCGAGGAGGACGGAGTTGCGCCGACAGGCGAAAGAAGCCGCGAGAACAAGGGACCGGCATGCCGCTCAGCTCGGCGGGGAGCTTGTCGGCGATGGCGCGGTAGACGTCGAGCGTATTGCGGCAGCGGTCGCTGAGCATGCCGAACTCGCTGGCGATCTGCGTGACGGCGAGCAGCGCCTCGTCGTTGCCCATGCCCATGAAGAGGGGCTTGCTGTCGTCGAAGGCTTGCTCGGCCTGCGTCATGGCGGCGCCTGGCTCGTGGCGTGCGAGGGCGGCGATGCGGAGGAGCGTGGTGACGCCTTGTGCCTCGGCATACAGGTCGTTGCTCTCGGGACGGCGGAAGAAGAGCTCGACGGCGGCGGCGGAGCGGTCGAGGCAGCTGCCAATGGCGTCAGCGAGCCACGTGTCGGCCTCGAGCAGAGCGCTGTCGCCTGCTGCGATGTCGGCGACGAGCTGGCTGCGAGTCCCGCTGGCCCAGAAGCCGTGGAGCCGGCGGAAGATTTCGCCTCTGCGATACGCCTTCCTCCACAAGCGGTTGATGAAGGGGACGATGTCGGTCTTGACGAGCTTCGTCTTGAGCTCGTTAACCTCGGCCGCCGAAAGCGCCTTGAATGACTTGCGGCTGGCAGAGGTCGCGCCGGAGACGCTGGCACAGTTGAGGAGCGTCCGTAGTTCATCGACGGTGACATTGGCAGGGGCGGATCCGGCGGCATGTGGGGGCGCGGCGCCGGCACCAGGCGTAGGCGCTGGAGGCGGCGCTGGCGCGGGCGGCGGCTGTGGCGCTGCTGCTGGCATCCAGGCCTGAGACGGGTACGTGCCTGCGCCTCCGCAGAGGGGCGGGATGGCGCCGCATGCACCGGCGGGTTGCGAGTAGCAGTAGGCCTGCTGCTCCCACTGGGCAGGGTGGATGGAGCCTCCTGGCTGAGCCATGCCCTGCATGAAGGAGGGCACTGCGGGGTCCATTATGTACTGCTGCGGCATGCCGAACTGTTGCTGCTGCAAGCACATAGCGGGCTGCGAGTACAGCTGGCCGGCGCTGTCGCAGAAGGGCTGGGTGAAGAAGGGCTGTGGGGCTCCCCACCCGCCATGCATATGCAGTTGCTGGGCCGGCGGGAACGGCTGCATCGGCATTGCGAATTGGCTGTGCGATGCCGCACCACATTGCGATGGTGATGCGTAGGAGCCGGCGGGCGGCACGTGCCCGACGGGTGGCTCGTGCCCAGTCGTCCCTGGTGGCGGGCCGGTGGGCAGTGGCGGCCACTGCTGCTGCTGCTGCGGTGGTGGCCGCAGCATTGGTGGCGGCGGCCGCTTGGCAGGCGTTGAGCCTGCGGGTGGATTGGCGTGTTGGGCTGGCGCTGGGCCGCGACCAGAGCTGATACCATGTGACGGCGGAGTTGACGTCTCCGACGGTCGTAGCGGCGTGGCTGAGGGCGGCGGTGGAGGCGCCCGAGGGCGCGGCGTGGCTGGTCTCATGGGTCTAGCAAACCATAAACCACACTGAGAGGATGCAACGAAAGCAGGCGGGCGATAGCAGGACGCACGAACTAGTTAGAGGTATTGACCTCGGTGGGTGTGAAAGGTATACCCATTACCCAAGAAAGGGTAGGCGCGGTTAGATGGGAGGTAGAATGTCTACCTACCGCATTACATCTTGTCAGCTTGTCACCAGACTTCTCGAGACCTCGGTAGCCGTATATTGGTATGAAGATTGAACGACCAATGACGAATGAGTGTAATGTGTCACTTGCACCGACCACTGTGCCCGCGCACAAGACACAAGCAACCCGCGCAGACCGACCCGCTCTCCACCTCTGCTTTCGAAAGAGGCCCGAGCGGTGGCTTTGCTGGAGAAGCCGAGCCGAGCGGAGCGAACCCGGGCCCTAGGCCACGTGGCCCGCACTCCCCCCCCCTCCCCCCCCCTCCCCCTCCCGCCCGGTGGCGCTCCCCCGTTGACCGCTGATTGCAGACGCGGCCTTGCGCAGTAGTGGAGCAGCCGATCAGACCCCCTCCGCCCCCAGCCCCCACCGCCCTCCCCGTCCTCTCCCTCACGCCCCCTCCCGAGGCCGCTTCGCCGCCCTCTCCCCCACCGCCGCCGCGTCGCGCATAGGGCTCACGCCGCCGTCGGGCAGCTGCAGCAGGTCTAGCGTGTCCACACGGCGAACGGAGAGCGGCAGCCCGCTCGGGTCGCCGCCGGCGGAGCACGACGCCCCGCCGCCGCCGCCCGACTGCTTCGCCAGCCGGTCGTCGAGACTGCCATGAGCTGGCCGCAGCGGTAGGCTGGCCGCCACTGCCGCCGGCGCCGCCCCGGCGAGCCGCGGCGTCTCGACGGCGCCGAGGGTGGTCGCGAGGTACTCGCTGGCGGCAGAGATGGTCTCGGTCGACATGGCCGAGATGGACAGCCGCCGCCCTGGCACGGGCGGCGCCTCGCCCGCAGGAGCAGCGTCGGCAGCGGCATCGCCAGCGTCAGGAGACACCTCGGCGGCGCCGACCTCCTCCGAGAAGGAGCCGAGCGTGTCGACCCGATGCAAGCCGATACTCTCCGGGAAGGGCTCCTCCTCCCCGCCCTCCTCCTCCTCCTCCTCCTCCGCCACAGACTCGGAAAGGTCGCCGTCCTGCTCGTCAAAGACCTCACTGCCGTCGCGCTCCGACTCGGAGGCCTCGCTGTTGGCCGCCGAGGCCTCGCTCAAGTCGTGGAAATAGGCATTAGAGGTTGTGGACGACTGTCCTGGCGCACCAGGCCTTGTGGCAGGCATAAAGAGCGAAGATTATCTCACGAATACTTGATTTTTCACGCCGTCTAACAATCGTGTTCAAGCGGCCCTCCTGTGAGCTGGTACACCAAGAATGGCTTACCACTGCCAGGGGCCACACTGTGGCAAGCTGTGATGAGCGTGGTTTGGCTTGTGCAGCCCATACGGACGTGGTATATATACATATATGCGGCCACGTGTCGGCCGGTTCGGGGCACGAATTCCGGATTTTTCCACGGCCTAACAATCGTTGCTGTAGTGGCGCCAATGGCCGCCTCCCGTCGCGCCATTGGCACCCTAGCCAGCAGTAGCACCGGAGGCAACACCACCAAGCCCACAAGTCACAAGAGTGACGGAGATGCTTGCCACGAGCACCGTGACGCCCGACCCTGTGAGCACCGTGGGCGTATACGGCTGCATACGGTGAGATGATGCACAGCATGGCCAGACGAGGGAAGCAAGGCTCGCCAGCTGTGTGTTAGTGAGGTATATGGATGTGATCAACATGTGTGCGTCACAGGTACGCGCAGCAGCGCATGTAGCCGCTGATATCGAAGACAGCGCAAACAGGTCTTTTTGCGCCACGCACCCGATGGCCGTGCAGGTCCAACTGCGTGCACAGGAATGCTCTCAGCGCGTCTCCGCCATAACTGGACATGGCAATGAAGCAGCTGAGACGTGACAACACCGGTGCTGGGCCAAGGAGGTGCCGCTCACCGCCGATTGTTAGGACTGTCGTCGAAGGCGAGCGGCGGTCGCCGGGCAGCAGCTCGTGGCGATCGTCGATCCGCGAGCTGCCAAGCTTGTCACAGGCCGGCACTGGATCGAGGACGATGGCGCCGCGCGGCTGGAGGCAACGGAGAAAGGCATTGTGGAGCGGCGAGGCGATTGTTACGAATTTCGAGGCGCGGAAAAATCCGATCGCGTGGAAAAATCAAGTATTTGTGAGATAGGGCCCCAAACGATTTGCGCTGGATGCACAGAGGTCACCAGGTCTGACTGTCACTGTGCTATTTCGCTTTTCGGGGCCCGGGGTTGTGCGTTTATGTGAATTCCGCTCGCTGCAAGCCCTATAGGTAGGCTGACGCAATGAGACACGCTCCGCTCCAACCGACGAAGCCTCCGAAACGTCTAACCGCCCGCCGCGCTAACTGACTCCTCATCACCTCCCTACCAACATACACAGGTAGAAAGGTGAAAACATCCAGGCTCGGACTGGACACCAACGCGGTATGGGTGGACGCGAGACAGATGATGACGACACGCACGAGCGACACACAGACACAAACAATCATGCCCGCGGCAGACGTACCTCATACCCAAAGACCGAAATCCTGTGCCATGTCCCGCTCCCTCACCATCCAGGAGAGCCTGCTCTCCGACCACCTCGAGTCGCTGCAGAGGCGGTCGACCCTCGAGACGGGCCTGCTGCTGGCCCACGTCGGCGCCCAGGCCGACGCCGTGCTTCACTTTGTGCCGACGCCGAGCCAGGACGACGGCGCGCCGCAGGTCGACGCGTCGTGGATGGTCACGCACGCCGAGGCAGTGTCGCACATGCTCCCGGGCGGGATCGCGGTCGTCGGCGCGTACCTCTTCTCGCCGAGCGGCGCCTTTGCCTCGCACGAGGCCAAGCTGCGGCCCGTGCTCGCGGCGGCGCTCAAGCGGCTCCGCGAGGCGGACGGCACGCAGTCGCTGCTGATGCTCCTGCCGAGCGACGCGCGCAAAGCGACCGCGCGCGCCCTCGTCGCCGGCTCGGCCTCGCTCAAGCCGATCGAGCTCAAGACGACGATCTCGCCGCCGCGGCTCATCTGCCTCGAGGCGGCGTGGGTGGTGCAGGCGCAGCTGCGGCTGCTGCCTCCGGGCGCGGGCGGGCCGCCGCAGCTGGCGCAGCTCAAGATGCAGCTCGCGCCCGTGCTCCGCTGCCTCGACGCCACCACGGCGACGGTCGACGGCTCGTGCTGGCCCGCGGGCGCGCTCTGCTCGCAGCTCGCCCAGGGCGGCGCGCCGCACTCTGTCCGCCTGTTTGGCGCCTTCCGTGCCGCCGAGGCGGCGGCGGGCGAGGGCGGCGCGGAGGGCGGCGAGGACGACTTTTTGGGCGAGGCGGCTCCGCGCGGGCCGGCCGCGACGGTGCGGCTGCGAGGCGTCGTGCGCGGGCGCGCGTTTGCGGCGCCAAAGGAGGCGGTGGAGGAGGGGGTGCGGCGTCTGAGGCGCGACCTCGCCTGCTCGCTCGAGCGGCGCGTGGCGCTGCTGCTCGAGGACCTGGCCGAGGAGGAGGAGGAGGAGGGCGGAGGCGTGGACCCGCGCGACCCGCTGCCGACGGCCGTGCCGGGGGCGTGGGCGCTGCCTCGGCGTGCGCACTTTGCGGTGGGCGGCGGGCTGTCTCTGTGCGACTACGTGGCTGAGGGAGACGACGCGGCGGAAATGAGCCGAGATGAGCCGCGATGCGCCGAGATGCGCCGAGATGAGCCAGATCGCGTACCACGCGGCGGACTCTCACCGCAGAGGCGAGTGATGCACGGGGGAGAGCTTGGTATGTGAGCTTGGCACGTGAGCTGGGTATTTGCCGGGAGAGCTGGGCGCGCTTGCTAAATGGGTATTTGCTTGAGCAGGCGGACTTTGCCGAGCGAGTGCGCGAGATCGTCGGGCCGAGTCTGGCGGCGGGGCTGGACGGGCTGGGCGACGGGGTGGGCGAGGGGACGCTCGAGGCGCCTAGCACGCGCACGAACCTCTTCCTTCATCTCCTCCGCGTCTCCCCTCCCCTCCCCTCTTCTGCTCTCCTCCTCTCCTGTCCAGCTCTCCTCCTCTCTCCTCTTCTGTCTCTCCCCGCCCTCTCGCTCGCCCCCCGCCGCGCTCCTCCCCTTGCGAGAAGGACCAAGACACCCCCCTCTGCTCCCCGACACACACCCGCCCCTCTCTCCCTACCTCCCAGGCGCTGCTCGCCCCCGAGGCGGCCGCACATCTCGAGACAGAGCCGGCGCCAGAGCGCGGGGAAGGAGCAGCACTTGCCGCCGCGCCTGCAAAGCCCCCCGCCAACCCGCCGCCTCGTCAGAGCAGCAGCTTGCCCCTCTTCGCCGCCGCCGCCGCCGCCGCGCTGGCCGTGGTCGTGGCGCTCGTTTCGCTGCTGTTTACCTCGCCGCCGCTGGACACTGCCGAGGCGCAGGCGGAGGCGGCGGCCGACGCCGTGGCCGACGCGGCTGGATCTGATGGGCCGTAGATGCCGTGCTCATGAGCATATGGCCGCACTCCGGACGGAGCGAGAATGATGCCAGGGTGTCAGCTGTCCTGCCGATGGCGCCCACTCTGATGGGGCTCTCTGGGTTAGACGGACGCGCAGCAAAAAGAGCCGTATCGGTATTAATGTGTACGGTCGGCCCTGTGAGCCCCCGGCCTCTCCCGCCGCGGGCGCGCTGGGTTGGTGTGGGTGACCCTAGAACGTAGAAGCCCTATGCTGAAGCTCGACCCCCCACGCCCCAGCGCCCAGGCCCTCAGGCCGCTCGACCCCACCGCCTCCGCCACGCGCGCACGCCACACAATGCACAAGACGCGCAAGAGAGCTCCTCTGACGTTTAAGCCACAAACGCTTTATAAGCCTACGGAGCCTTCCGCTCGGGCGCCGGACCCTCCACCAACAACGCCTTTAGTCGCTCAAACCCCTCGGGGCTGTACTCGCACTGGAACATGTCGCCCCTGTTGAGCCGGAACAGCTCGGCCGCGTTGCTGCAGATCTTGGCGAAGACGCAGACCTCGAGGAAAAAAACGTCGCCGTTGGCAAAGTCCGTCGCGGGGTTGCACTGCCCGGACCGGCCAGTCTGCAACGCGTAGCCTCTGCAGGCGCCAAACTTGGTCGAGCCGTGCGACCCATCCAGCCAGAGCTCGTGCGGGGCCGTCGCAAAGACGATCGCTCCAGAGCCCTGCCTCGGCAAGCGTCCCCTCGCCGCGCAGACCTGCCACTCAAAGTTCCGGCAAGTGTTCCACTCCACTGCTCCGTTTGCGAACGCCGACGACGTGGGCCGCAGCTGGAGGATGTTGTAGCCCGCACGGTCGCAATCGCCTCGGCCATCGCACACGTTGTAGATGTCTGTATCGTGGCCCAAGAGCGCGGGAGCGTCCCCCCTGTCTCCAAAATCGCCGCTGTTTTGGTGCGAGTCGGCGTACCAGTTTTCGTGGCAGTGGACGCCTTGCTCGATATCATGAAAGGAGTTCGCGCTCGAGACGCGCTGGCCCCAATGGGCGCGAGCCACGTCAAAGCACGACGGCTGGCTGTGCCGACCTTGGCGCCGCGCCTGCACGCCCCACATCTTGCGAAAGAGCGAGTGGGGGTCGGCGAGCATGCGGTCGCACGTGTACTGCGTTAGATGCTGGGTCACGGGCGGCGTCGCCGGCGGCGGCGCCGGCGGCCGCGGGGGCAGCGGCGGCAGCGGCGGCAGCGCCAGGTGACGCTCCGCCTCGAGCTTGTACCCGGCGCCGAGGTCGAGCAGGAAGCGCGCATGCCCCCAGTGGGGTGCGGGTGCACACGCTTGCACGTGGGAGGCGGCGCTGAGGGAGCAGGGGGGTGGATGAGGGTTAGAGGGGAGGCGCATCGGGAGGATGCGGGAGGGGTTGCGAGGGGAGGAAGTCGGGCAACTGCTAGGGGGACGCGGCGCCTGAGCACGAGGTCAACGCAGAGTTTATCGGCGTTGATCTGACAGACGTGGCCATCGAAGCGGAGCCACGATGTCCCGTTGGCAGTCCGTGCCCACTCGGACGCGCGAAGTACGGCGGCGGTTTCCGGCTCTTCGGGGGCGGCCTCAAGACCAGCCAGGATGGCCCAAGATGGCCCCGCTGCCGCCTTGCTGCGCACCTCGAGCTGAAACGGCGGCACCTCGGTGACGCACTTGACGCTGCGCCCGGACTTTACCTCGCCCCGACGAGTGACCCATGGGCCGTTGTCGTTGCGGTGGCATGGGCCGCCGATGCCGCCCTCGCATGCGAGGCTGTTGCAAAAGTTGGTGTGGTCGCCGACCTGAAAGGTCTGCCCATCGGGGCAGGTGCAGCTGCCGCCCCACACGCCAGCGTCTTCGGCGATGAGGTGCTGTAGGCGCACGCCCGCCACCCGAAAGCCACTTAGGCACAACTCGGGCGGAGGCGACGGCGGCGGCGGTGGAGGCAGCGGCATGGGCGGCCGCGGCAACGGCGAAGGCGGCGGCGGCGGGAGGGGCTGCGGTGGAGACGGTGGCGGCGGGAGGGGAGCCTCCAGCGCCATGAGGCTTTGTGAGAGCCGGGCGGCGATGACCATCGCACTGACACCGGCGGCAGCGACAAGCATAGTGCAGGCTGCCACCAGCGGCCAGCACATTGCGCACGAGAGGGCTCGCGGGGGCGGCGGCGCTTTGGCCTGCTCGATGTCGAGCGGCGCTTCGGGACCCCCCTGCTCGTCATCGAGGTTCGAGTAGCGCCTGCTCTTCTTCTCTCGCTGCCCTTTCGTCTGGGCTTGCACCGCGCGGACGAGGTTGCCGTTCCCTGCTGGCATTGTGTGTGTCCCCGAAGCGCCCGCCGCGCGAGTTCTCTACGAGCCGCCTGTGCTTCGGGTCCAGGGGCCCGAGATCTCGGCGCGGCTCTTCTTGTTCGAGCGCTAGCCTACTCCCTCGGTACCTGCACGGCGCCGCCGATGCCCTTACACCCCTGGCCCGGGTGCGGTGCCCGGTGCGCGTCCCGACGGCCTAGTGATTGACGCCCCTCCTTAGTGCTTTTAGTTTTGGACACATGACACACAATCGCAGCGGCCCAGGCTCAGTGTGAGCTCTAGAATCTGGGAGGCTCAAAATTTGTCTCCTTTTTTTATTTCTTCATTTAGGTTGGGAGGTGGGGTCCAGGTGCCCCGTTGGCGCGCTCGTTCTTCTGTTTTCGCCGCCGCAGTTGAGGAAATCTCTCTTTCTTGGAAATCGGTGGACGCGACACAAACCCCGCGAATTCTTGCGCGAGGTGCTTACGAGGTGCCCGCGCGGGGCTTCCTGTTCACACTCGTGTGTGGGCCCTTTCTTGGGGCCGCGCCTGCGGCGCGCCGTGGTTTCTTAGATTTTTGCGGAAATCGCGTTAGGGTTTCTAAAAGAAAGAAAGAAACAAAACGGACAACCCAAGGGAGGGATGGGAGGAGGGTTTCTTGATGCCCGCGATATGCGCGAATTCTTGCCTCAGGTGCCTTGCCAGGGTGCCCGTTGGCGCGCTTCCACCTGCTTCTTCTGCAGTCGCCGCCGCAGAATGTCGAAGCTCGTGACCTGGAGCATGGGCCGGCAGGCTCGTGCGGCGCTTGCGGCGAAGGCAGCAGCTGAGAGCAGCCCAGCGTGGCACTCGGTCAAGCTCCGCGGAGACAAAGTTGTCGTCGCACTCTCCGATGCTGAGGTGCCGCAGCCGCTCAAGCGCGCCACTGCACCGAGCAGCGAGTCGTCGCACGGTGTTCCCGTTGGCACCTTCGTCCACGGCGACTACTGCGCGACGTGCGGCATGGTCGGCGCCACCCTCCACGCGACCCTTCGCCCTCCACCCTCCACGCCACCCATCGCGCCCACTTCACTTCGCCTCCGCCACCAATGGATCCAATCCTGTCGGCGGGTGCGATCACTCGGTGATCAGACCGCTGAGGAAGACGCGCCCACGTCCTCTGAGCCGTCCGCAGGTGGGCCACCTGCACGGCGCAAAGGGCATGCCTTGCGAGGAGCAGCGCGACCCCGAGCTCGAGCACATCTGCGCGACTCTGGACTGGGAGGCTGGCCACTCGACCGGCGTGATCTCGGCGCACCAGTGGGCGCCGCGCGTGAATGGGCGGGCGCCCTGACGGCCGACGGGCCGCAGCTTGCACTCAGGGGGCCGGAGCGGACCTGCTCCGAGAGCGAGAGAGGCAGAGGCGGAGGGCGAGCGAGCGAGAGGCGCGGTGCGGCGATGCTGGGACCGGGGATAGGACCCCCTTGGGCTCTGCTCCCCCGCTCTATACGCTCGGTGGAGCTCCGGTACGCACAACGATCGAGCATTCAGACATGGTTTGTGGTGCGTGCGTCTGTGTGTTTTGTGAGCGGGGGCGCTGATCGGTGTCACTGCACGCGGCGTTCAAATGGGAGTAGTGCACATGCGGGGGGGTGGGGCGTGTAACCCTGTGTGTTTCTGTGCATGTGTGCGGTGCGTGGCGGTGGTGCATATTTCACGATCGGTGTACAACACTGCAAAACTACACGTAGACGCATGTCCATTAACACCATGTGGAGCATGCGTGTGTGAGACAGGAGTCAGGACTCAGGAGCTGAGGACGAGATAAACCCGCCACATTTCTCTCGGTTGTCGCTTGACGCTTGCAAGCTCGTCCCTTGTCGGGGGGCGCATGTGTCCGGAAGTGTGTCGAGAGAGTCGAGAGCTGTTTCCTGTTACCTCTCTAATTGAGTGCTACGGCAGACCTCACCGCTCACACCGCGTCAGCGCCCGAAGAGCCGCCCGAGGCTGGCGATCGTCGGCACCACGAGGGGCGTGCGCTGCTCGTAGGCGGCGTAGCGCGGGTCGGAGGCGTAGCGCCTGCGCGCGAGCTCCGCCTAACAAACGAGCGTCGGCTACCTCCCCTGCAGCCCTCCGGCGCGCCGCACCTGCGGGCCAGTTCCGCCTGGTTGGCGATAGCGTCCGTCGCCTGGCCGTAGAAGAGAGAGAGGAGGAAGAGGGGCGAGGCGGCGCCGCCGAGAAGTCTCGCGCCGCGCCGCAGCCAGCCCGCACCT